AAAAGTGATATTCTCCCATTATTCAAATAAACAGACATTTATTAAATGATGTATTAAATCATACGCTGTATATTCACATTTTGAGGTCTCTGATACTACAGATCTTAATAACGGTTTTACTCCTAAGAGTTTTGTTGGCATAAGGTCAGGTGCTGTGGCTCATGCCTGTAGTCCCAACACTTTGGGAGGCCAAGGCAGGGTGATTGCTTGAACCCAGGAGTTTGGGACCAGCCTGCGAAACATGGTGAAACCCCGCTTCTACAAAAATTAGAAAAATTAGCTCGGTGTGGTGGTATGTGCCTTTTGTCCTAGCTACCCAGGAGGCTGAGGCAGGAGAATCACATGAGCTGCCCAGGAAGTCAAGCTGCAGTGAGCTGTGATGATGCCACTGCATTCCACTCCGGAGACAGAGTGAGACCTGGTTTAAAAAAAAAATGTATAATTTGTCTAGAGCCAGAGGTTGCAGTGAGAGGAGATTGCACCACTGCACTCCAGCCTGGGAGAAAGAGTGAGAACCTGTCTCCCTGTCTCAAAAAAAAAAAAAGGCCAGGTGCAGTGGCTCATGCCTGTAATCCAGCACTTTGGGAGGCCAAGGTGGGCAGATCACGAGGTCAGGAGATCGAGACCATCCCGGCTAACATGGTGAAACCCCATCTCTACTAAAAATAGAAAAAAAATTAGCTGGGCATGGTGGCGGGTGCCTGTGGTCCCAGCTACTCGGGAGGCTGAGGCAGGAGAATGGTGTGAATTCGGGAGGTGGAACTTGCAGTGAGCCAAGATCCTGCCAGTGCACTCCAGCCTGGGTAACAGAGCGAGACTCCATCTAAAATATATATACATATACACACATACACATATATACACACACACACACATATATGCATACACATATATACACATATATATACACACATAAAATTTGTTAAATATATCAGAATAACTGACAACTAAAATTGTCTTTATAAGTTTGAGCTAATATAGAAGATAACATTATTCTAATTTATTAACCCTTTGTTTATTTGGGTAAATAGAATACATTATCAAGTTTTTTCTTAAAAAAAAAAAGGGGGGGGTACCAGGAATCCAAAGGTATACTTGTATAGTCTTGTTCAGGTGTAGCCAAGTGGGGATAACAGTTCCTGTCCCATGCATACAAAAGGTAAAAATAAGTGCTTACCTACCAAACATGTTAAATAAAATTGTCAACAATACTGTTAAAGCCTATTGTGTTCCTCTCCCTTCCCCTATTGGAAACCATTCAGAATTAGATATTTATTATTTTTATAATTTATTTATATGTACACTATATATGTCCATATGCCTAAATAATAATATAATATTTTATATGTTTAAAAACTATACTGGCCAGGCATGGTGGCTCATGCCTGTAATCCCAGTGCTTTGGGAGGCAGAAGAGTAGGATCAGCTGAGGCTAGGAGTTTGAGACCAACCTGGGCCACATAGCGAGACCCTGTCTCTACAAAAAGTGAAAAAACTACCCAGGTGTGGCGGTGTGTGCCTGTAGCCCCAGCTACTCTGGAGGGTGAGATGGGAGGATTGCTTCAGCCCAGGAGGTATAGGTTGCAATGAGCTGTGATCTTGCCACTGCATTTCAGTCTTGGTAAAAAGGAAAAAACCTGGCAAAAAAAAAAAAAATATACTGTATATGTTTCTGTAATTTGCTTTTTCCCCTCAACATTGTAAGAGTCATCCATGTTAAGACATGTACCTCTGATTTCTCCATTTTCACTAATCCTGTCATCAGGCGTTTCTAATCTGCCATTAAACCTGTCTACCTTCTAATGGGTGTTTAATCAAAGTTACTGAATATATTAATCACAGTTATTTTAAAGTCTGTGTCTGAAAATTCCCAATCTGTAGATCTTCTGTGGATCCATTTCTCTTGTCATGTTTTTCCATTGTTTCTCAATCATAAAGTCCTATTGACTGCTGTGCTTAGTAATTTTTGGTAGAATACTGAAATTGTGTGTGAAAATTGTAAGGTGAAATTCTTTGTGAAAAACTGTAAGGATAATTTGTGGCTGTAGCTCAGGGATCTACAAATTATGCCCCATGGACCAAATTTGACCTGCTACCTGTTTTTGCCTGGCTTTAAGTTAAGAATGTTTGCTGTATGTTTAAATGATTGAAAAATAATCAAATGAAGAATAATATTTGACAACACATGAAACAAAATTCAAACCTAAGTGGCCATAAGTAGAGTTACTGGAATAGTCACATTATGTATTGTCTGTGGCTGCTTCTGTGCTGCAACAGCAGAGTTGAGCAGTTGCAACAGAAACCTAATTGGCCACAAGACTAAAAGATTTATTATTGCCAACCTCTGCTCTAGCTAGATAATGGTATCTTTCTCTAGAGAGGATTTACTTCTGGTAGGCCCTTAAGATATTAGGAAGATCACCTTAAGTCGTTCAGGGATTTAGTTGATTCAAAGCTTGTTTTGAGTTCTTGTGGGGGTTGTGAATTTCTGGTTCACCTCTACTTCTAGGGCATAGCTTTTCAGGGATTCCGACTAAAAGCCTGATGTATTTACCCAGAATCCTATTCCTTGATGGGCCCAGTACTTCAATGTTGGTTCACTGTCTACAATTTTCCTTCTCCCTGAGATTATGGCTCTTCTATGTGTGTGTGTATGTGTGTGTGTGTGTGTGTATATATGTACATACACACACATGCACTGACAGAAATATATATATTTCTGACATTGTCAGAAATAGAAGTTCAAGGTGATCAAATTGCATCCCCACCCCAGATTCTTCAATGGCCTTCCATCTCATTTAGGAAAACACAAGTCCTTATAGTTACTACAAGAATGACTGCCTGAGTCAGTCTAAAAATACATGGGTCTAAAGAGGCACAGACAAGAGAAAACAGGTTTATTTTGCCATCAGTGCATTAGCACACTAATAAGTGTAGGACTTAACACTCCAAAAGAATATACCCATGCTAGTGGGAGTCATTTACATTTAGGCATTTGTTCTCATTATTTTTAAACTGAGGTATAATCACTTACCAAAAATGTACATTTAAGTGTTCAGTGTGTTTTGACAAATGTATATACCTATGTACCAATACCTCAGTCAAGATACAGAACATTTCCATCACCCTAGAAAGTTCTCTCCTTGCCTTTTGTTTTTTGTTTTTCAATTTTGTTGTTGTTGTTGTTCTGAGACAGGATCTCACTCTGTCACCCAGGCTGGAGTGCAGTGGTGTGATCTTCCAGGGTTCAAGTGATCCTCTTGCTTTAGCCCCCTGAGTGGTGGCACGCACCACCGTGGCTGGCTAATTTTTTGTATTTTTTTTGTAGAGACTGGGTTTCACCATGTTGCCCAGGCTGGTTTTGAACTCCTGAGCTCAAGCGATCTGCCTGCCTAGGCATCCCAAAGTGCTGGGATTACAGGCCTGAGCCACCGTGCCCGGCTCCTCCTTGCCTTTTCCAGTTAATCTTCTTCCCTGTAGAACAGCAACCACTGTTCTGATTATCCCCATATTAATCAAAATTTTTATTTTATTTATTTTTTTTGAGACAGAGTCTCACGCTGTTGCCAGGCTGGAGTGCAGTGGCGTGATCTCGGCTCACTGCAACTTCCGCCTCCCGGATTCAAGCAATTCTCCTGCCTCAGCCCCGAATAGCTGGGACAGGCTGCCGCCACCATGCCCAGATGATTTTTTGTATTTTAGTAGAGACGGGTGGTTTCACTATGTTGGGCAGGATGGTCTTGATCTCCTGACATCATGATCCACCCTCCTCGGCCTCCCAAAGTGCTCGGATTATAGGTATGAGCCACCGCACCCGGCCCAATTTTAACTTTTTAAATTGCAAATTTCATCACTACCATGCTGGTCATAACACTGCTATAAGTCTTTAGAAGCTGTTAATGTATTTGCGTTGTTCAAATTTCACCTACTTCTCTGGATCCCAGATTAATTGATTTTTTTTTTTTTAAAGGCCACATCTGCATGTTAATCTGCAGGTCTAGCTCATAGCCCCTTTGATGAATAGAAGGTATACTAACACAAACATCATACATGATTAGGTAATATAAGTAACCTGGTCTTTTAGAATACTATTGAATGACACTAAGCTACTTAAAAATTAATTCCTAGAATCCCAACCCTTGTATTTCCATGGCAAGTAACATGCATTATCTCAGGTGAGAGTACCATTTTCAATTTACAGATGAGAAAATGATTCAACAACTAATTGACTTATACAAAAATCCCCTTACCGTAATCAGTGGTGCCAGGACTAGATTTTTATTATTTTGCTCATTCCACTATCCTAGGCTGCATGTACACAAGGAAAGAGCCAACCTGTATTCCAAAAATTCAATTTCCTTGTTTCTTCTCTGAAAATTCATAGGTTACCCATTCTTCCTATCCTCTGGCATAGTGTTGAGCACTGAAAACATACATCAAATAGTGCTATAAACTTTTTTTTGAGACAGAGTCTCGCTCTGTTGCCAGGCTGGAGTGCAGTGGTGTGATCTCGGCTCACTCCAACCTCTGCTTCCAGGTTCAAGCGATTCTCCTGCCTCAGCCTTCCAAGTAGCTGGGACTACAGGAGTGCACCACCATGCCCAGCTAATTTTTGTATTTTTAGTAGTGACAGGGTTTCACTATGTTGGCCAGGATGGTGTCGATCTCCTGATCTCGTGATCCACCTGCCTCAGCCTCCCAAAGTGCTGGGATTACAGGCGTGAACCACCGCGCCCGGCCGCTATAAACATTTTCTGTACTTTATAACAGAAGATAGGAAATTTAGAGAGAAATAATTCCATGGCTATTCACCATACAATTTAGACTCCACCTATGTAAAAGATTGTGTTGCTTTTGAGTAAGATGACAAGAAGCCCTTAGTTTTGCTATCCTGCCTTACTGACAATAATTACAAGAAATTCTTAGACATATAAAAATGTAATATATATGAAACATTGCATTATACATTTATGCATCCATTTTTTCCTTCATCTACACACCTGTGAAAGCCCAGAGATACTGCTGTGTCCAGGGCCGCCTGCCTTCTCACTCCGGCTAAACAAGAAAACACTAGGTGGTCAGATTTGGAGGGCTTTACTTCATTGTACTTCTCTTTGAAGTCTCTTGGGTTCATCTGTAGAGCTTCACCTACCTCATCCACTGAAAGAAAATGTTAAGAATTTCAATTAGATTTTAGATATAGTAAATTATTTATATGTTTTTTAATAATTTAAGACACATGTCATTTACATGGTATATTGATAGACCCAGGGATTTTTCGATACTCCAGAATTCCCCATGTCTCTGTAACATCAATTAACATAATATTTTTAGAATTCAACAGGTTTTCAAGTTCCTTATAAGTGACATCATTAGAAATAGCAGTATAAAAATTGTGGTGGTTTCCCATTATTTACTTCAAACCTGGAAAAAATAAACAATTTAGGCAACTTCAAAGTGATATCACTATTAATAGCTGGAAATAATAGGTTAAACGAATTTCCCCCCGTTCCAGTCAGTTAACTATCGTCAATTTTTTTGCTTTAATAAACAATGTATTCTAGGTATGTATTTTGCACAGTGACATAATAAATATATATTTGGTCTCTGCTCCTGGTTCCTGATACAAGAGGTCCTAAAACCCTTATAATTTCCTGAGTGATGGTGGTGGGGGGGTGCTGGGAGCATCTTTTGTTTTAATGTATTTCGTTTTGTACTCCACTTCCTGACACAGAGCTCCCAAATCCCTTGGAATTTCCTGGGTGATAGATTCTTTTGTTCTAATGAAGTGACTCTTGGTAGGTTCATGGATAGCTTCAGGATGGGGGCTGGTCACCAGAAAGACCCAACTGTGATTAGGAGCTTGGAACTCAGCCCCATTCTCATCCTCCAGGAGGTAAGAGCAGCTGGAGACTGAGTTAATAACTGATGACTACATGATGAAGTTTCCATAAATATCTCTAATGGGGTTCAGAGAGCTTCTGGTTGGTGAACACATTTAAGTGCTGGGAGGATAAAACGCCCCAACTCTATAGGGACAGAAGCTCCTGTGCATGGGACCCTTCTAGACTTCCCACTGTGTACCTCTTCATCTGGCTGTTTATCTGTATTTTTTATTATATTCTTTCAAATAAATCAATAAACTTGTTTCTCTGACTTCTCTGAGCAGTTCTAGCAAAGTATCAAACCCAAGGAAGGGGTCAAGGGAACCCCCAATTTACAGCTAGTTGGTCAGAAGAGTGGGAGGCCTGGACTTGTGACTGGCATCTGAGGCAGGGGCAGTCTTGTGGGACTGAACCCTTAGCCTGTGGGGTCTATGCTAACTCTGGGTAGTTAGTTCAAAATAAAATTTTAGAACATCCAGTTAGTGTCCACAGAGAATTGGAGAATTACTTGATTTTGGAAAACCCACACATCTCCCACACATCTGATATCAAAAGTGTTGTGAGAGTACAGAAAAGAATTTTTCAGCCAGGCATGGTGGCTTATGCCTGTAATCCCAGCACTTTAGGAGGCCGAGGTAGGAGGATCTCTTCAGCCCGGGAGGTGGGGTTGCAGTGAACTGAGATCACGTCACTGCACTCCAGCCTGGAGGACACAGTGAGAACCTATCCCAAAAAAAAAAAAAAAGGCGGCCAGGTGTGGTGGCTCATGCCTGTAATCCCAGCATTTTGGGAGGCCAAGGCGGGGGGGTGGATCACCTGAGGTCAGGAGTTCAAGACCAGCCTGACCAACATGGTGAAACCCCGTCTCAACTAAAATTACAAAAATTAGGCGTGGTGGCAGGTGCCTGTAATCCCAGCTACTTGGGAGACTGAGGCAGGAGAATCGCTTGAACCTGGGAGGTGGAGGTTGCAGTGAGCCAAGATTGTGCCATTGCACTCCAGCCTGGGCGACAACAACAAAACTCCGTCTCAAAAAAGAGGAGGAGTTTTTCCATGTATGCATGTATCCCCTGACTGTGAGCATCAGGATGCAGCCTGTGCTGCCCTGAATGTTTGATATTGGCCTTGTGTCAGTTCCATATTCTGCTCTTTCTAAGCCCCTTAATTGGTGGGAGCTTGTAAATACACATTCAGCATCTGGTAACTGAATTATGGAAATAATTTATAAATCTTAATCTAAGTTACAATATTAAGAAAATTTTTATTTCATTTCCCCTTGCAAGCAAAGATATTAAGACATAGATTAGATGGGGACCTTACACTTTATACTACAATTGTAAGTACTTAATGGCACTGTTTCTTTTTTTTTTTTTTTTTTTTTTTTTTTTTTTTTTTTGAGATGGAGTCTGGCTCTGTCACCAGGCTGAAGTGCAATGGTGCAATCTCGGCTCACTGCAACCTCCGCCTCTCGGGTTCAAGCAATTCTCCTGCCTCAGCCTCCTGAGTAGCTGGGACTACAGGTGCGCGCCACCATGCCCAGCTAATTTTTGTATTTTTAGTAGAGACGGGGTTTCACCATGTTGATCAGGATGGTCTTGATCTCTTGACCTTGCGATCTGCCCCTTAGCCTCCCAAAGTGCTGGAATTACAGGCGTGAGCCACTGCACCCCGCCTGGCACTGTTTCTATCTCTTAAATATAGTCGCCTTTTGGTATCTGAAGGGGATTGCTTCCAGTACTCCCTTAGATACCAAAGTCTGTGGATGCTCAAGTCCCTTATATGAAATGGCATAGCATTTGCATATAAGTTATGCTCATCTCCCGTGTACTTTAAATCATCTCGTTTACTTATAATCCTTAGTACAATGTAAATGCTACGTAAGTAGTTGTTATATTGTATTTTTGGGGGTTTTTGTTGTTGTTGTTGTTGTTGTATTGTTATTTTGGGTTTTTCTTCCTGAATATTTTCTCTCTAGTTGACTTGAATCCTCTGGTGTTGAACCTGCAGATACAGAGTGCCAACATATTGTTACATAATATGGTATTGTAATATAATATTGTAACATAATATAACAATTGTAACATAATATGGTATTGGAACCCATAAAATAAATCCATGGGTCCATACTGACATAAGGATATAATTGAATAAATAAATTGGGAGAAGGGATTATCTTCCTTATACGGGAATTTCCAACTAATAAATATAGAAGGAATGATAGGAACAGAAAATCATTAGGCAAACACTCCAGTAATAATTGTTGCAGATAAAAACCATTGATAGATACAGATCTAGTGGGTGAAAGTGTGATGAGAAATGAGGTAATATCTTTCCATGAGATACTTACTAATTACAAAGGGAGAAACCTGAAAGATACCACTTTAACTAGTTATTCAAATATAGCTCACTAGTAATAAGATATGTTGACAACATGTGCCTCCTGATACGAGGCCCTGAGAAGAACACACAATATCACTTCCTTAGTATTCTTGCAAAAAAAATTCATGTCCTGAATCTAATTAGAAGAAAGCCTCAGACAAAAAATCTACAAAATAACTAGTACCCTTTTTAAAAGTGTCAATGTCAAGAAAGATTGAAGTCTGCGGATTAGTTAACAGTATTATATCAATATTAATTTCCTGATTTCAATAATTGCGCTACGTAAGATGTTCATACTATGTGAAGTTGGTAAGAATAAAGGAAACTGTTTTACTTTTGCAACTTTTCTACAGGTCTAAAATTATTTTTTAAAAAGAATATCCAAAAGATTTTTAAAATAACAAAAAAAGTAATAATGTTCGTATTTCACAACAAAATGACCACTGTAAGAAAGGTAAATAAGGCCAGGCACAGTGGCTCATGCCTGTAATCCCAACACTTTGGGAGGCTGAAGTGGGAGGATCACCTGAGTCCAGGAGTTGGAGACAGCCTGGGCAACACAGTGAGACTCCATCTCTACTAAAAGTCTTTTTAAAAAATTAGCCAGATGCGATGGCACAAGCCTGTAGTTCCAGTACTAGGGAAGCTGAGGCAGGACGATCGTTTGAGCCCACGAGGTGGAGGCTGCAGTGGGGCTGTGATGGTACCACTGTACTCCACCAGCCTAAGTGACAGACTGAGACTGTCTCAAAAAAAAAAAAGAAAGAAAAAAAAGTAAAAAAGGTAAATTATACAAGTATGCTTCAAATTTTATTTAAAGTATTAAATATAGTAAAATTGATTTAAGTAGTGTAGAGCTGGTATAAGAAAAGGTTTAAAAGTCTGAGTCCCGAAAAGAGACTTACAATATACTTTATACAAGAATTTGGTATCTGCTAACAGTGACATTGCAAATTAATAAGGAAATGACATTATATTCAATAAACAGGCCAACTAAGTAGGAGAAAACACTAAGCAGGCTGTTACCTCATTCCTTATGCTTAAATTCCAAATATAAACCTAAAATAATATTATTATTATTATTTTTTTTTCTTTGAGATGGAGTCTCTCTGTCGCCCAGGCTGGAGTGCAGTGGTGTGATCTCGGCTCACTGCAACCTCCACCTCCCGGGTTCACGCCATTCTCCTGCCTCAGCCTCCCAAGTAGCTGGGACTACAGGCACCCGCCACCATGGCCAGCTAATTTTATGTATTTTTAGTAGAGACGGGGTTTCATCTTGTTAGCCAAGATGGTCTTAATCTCCTGACCTCGTGATCCATCCACCTTGGCCTCCCAAAGGGCTGGGATTACAGGTGTGAGCCACAGCACCCAGCCCTAAAATCTAATATCCTAAAAGTACTCATAGAAAACATGAGTAGATAATTTCAGTCTTAAGATAGGAAGGCTATTCTAAACATGACAAAACTCAGAAATCATAAAGGTTTGATCTCATAAAAATGCTAAATTTATATATGGAAAAAGAACAATGAACACTTTGAATACAAGTAACAAAAAGAAAATTCTTGTGACATAGAAAAAAACCAAAAGATTAGTGTCAATAAAAGAGAGTTCATACAAATAACTAGGAAAAAGAAAAAAATTCCCATAGAAAAATGGTCAAAATATATGAACATGGAATTGACATGAGAAATATAAACAGCCAATAAAATGTGAAAAGTGCCCGATCTCACTACTAATTAAGGAAATACAAGATATAAACAAAATTTTGTTATTTTGTCAGGTTTGTAAAAATCAGAAGAATTTATAATATCAAATATTGGTGAGGGAAAGAGGAAACAGGCACTTTCCTACATTGCTGGTAGTGTATAATGTTACAAACTTTTGAAGGGAAATTTA